AGCGCTGGAGGATCGGAGCGGGGAGGGGGGGGGAATCCCTACAGCGAGCGACAGTCACGGCTCTCTGCAGGGACAGGATCGAGAAGTGAGCGAGAGACGATATGTGTTCTCTCACTTCCCGATCTATTTCAGCCGACCTGTGACAGTTTAATTGTCACAGGTCAGCTAGAACTTAGAGGATGAGTGAAAATCACTCGTCTCATAGTTCTCCTTTTAAGAGGGCTTATATGCAGGTTATTGGCCATAAAAAGTGTACGGGGACTGGGTAATGCCCTGGGGGACATGTATGAGGGTACCTGGGGGGTCCCCATAACCTGCCTGTGAAGTGTGGGATCTGTACGATGTATAGAACCTGCTGCAGCAAAAAGTGACATTTATAAAGAAAAAAACAATTATTTATTTTATTTTACTCCCAAAGTGTGCCCTTCCCCCTCCCAAACAATGGCGGACCCTTTAGGTCTGGTAGGAATATTAGGGGGGACCATTTTTTTTTTAAAGCGTGGGGTTCCCCCTAAAAGTCATACCAGGCCCTTGATCCGAGCATAGGCCTGGCAGGGCCGGAAAGGGGAGGGGGGCAAGTAAGCGGCCCCCCTCCCCTCCCCCACCAGGCCACATGCCCTCGGCACTGGGAGGGTGTCCCTGTGCCGATAGGGAGAAGGGCCTCTTCTCCCCAACCCTGACCCCATGTTTGTGGGGGTCTGTGGGCAAGGGGGCTTATTTGCATCGGGGTACCCCTTTAATTAAGGGGCACCCAGATGCCGCCCCCCTCTCTTGTGAATGAGTAAGGAGTAATTGTACCCCGACCCATTCACTAAAGGATTACATAAAATAGTTATTCAAAAGTCTTTCATGCTTGCCCTCTTATTGCTGCATGAGAGAGGCTGCCTGTCCTTGTTGTCCTTTCTGACATGATGTGTACTGCAATAGACGGCAATAATCGACTGTTATAATAGACGAGTATGAGTGACTGCTATAGTACAGAACGCTTTATATAGGAGTCTGTATGCTGGAGGCTGTATGTTGGAGTCTGTATATAGGAGGCTGTATATAGGAGTCTGTATATAGGAGGCTGCATGTTGGAGGCTGCATGTTTGGAGGCTGTATATAGGAGTCTGTATATAGGAGGCTGCATGTTGGAGGCTGCATGTTTGGAGGCTGCATGTTTGGAGGCTGCATGTTTGGAGGCTGTATATAGGAGGCTGTATATAGGAGGCTGTATATAGGAGGCTGCATGTTGGAGGCTGTATATAGGAGGCTGTATATTGAACTCTCTTTTTTGACTGCAGCGACACACTACGTAGCGCTGTGGTGTAAGCAGCCTATCACTATTTCAGAGAGGAAACTCTGGGAGAAGTGGGAATGTTACATGAGTAGCAGCTAACCCGCAATGAACAAGTTGGGGGCGTGTCATTTCACACCACATGTCATCCCACAAGGACATTTCCTCTCAGGCTAAAGCCGGAGAGGAAACAGGAAGATAATGGAGGGATGAATTGAGTTTAGCGTCTATGTCCATCACACACACTGGGAAAGCCTTAGAACATTTTTGAGATACATTTGGGCAACCACCAATGACTGATCATGATTGCCAACATTCTCTGAACATGTAATGCATTTGCATGATTCACTGACTGAGCTGTGTTACCAAGAGTTCTCTTCATTGCCAAATCCTGAGCTAATAGATTTATAACTCTGCCTTAGTACACAGAAGACACACACAGCGTCATTGGCTGACTGATGGCTGAGACACACAGCGTCATTGGCTGACTGATGGTTGAACTGTCAGAACATTTGCTCTGAAAACAGTCCGGGATCTGGAATTAAAGAGATTCCCTACTAATTATCATAAATTACCTGATAACCTGAGTTCATTTGAAGACGAAATAAAAACAATTTTGTACAAAAATATAAGTGGTAGGCTAATTAATTAGCCGGATTTGTGGGAGGAGCCCCACACATTTAAACTGCTCCGTCTCCCACTCTCACCTGTCGGCTCGTGGGCGTCATCTGAGGCTTCCTTCCGGGTTTCTGGCTTCCGGTCTCTCCTGCTCACAGCAGCTCGTCTCCTCGACGGCGGTTTTGCTTTTCGGCCGCACTTAGCGGCTGCATCTTCAGCCGCCCTCGGTGGCTCGTTTCTGACGGGAGATTCGATTCTGGTTGGTCTGTCATAGGGATGTCCCGATGCCACTTTTTCAGTCCCAAGTACAAGTACATCCCCTTGTGTACTTGCCGATACCAATTACCTGTTAATCTGATACTACAACCAAGGGGAAAACCGGCTAGTACCCACTGCACATCCTTCGGACCAAACAACTATACTGGATAAAAAATCCACACGTTAAACAGGATTCAAAAAGGGAACCAGCTGCAGCACCCAAAAGACCGGCCCCTTCAATCACCAACCCGGGAAAAGCGTGAGTCATACATCATTTTCAATCTATTTCTTCTTTTACTGGATTAATGCCTAATGGATCCCTTTTTTCAAATGATATAAAATCGTGATGAATATCCACTTGGAAGAGAAGTTTTGTCATTAATTTACAAACCATTCCTCGGTTCTACTATCAAGATCAAAAACTAAAAGTGATCCATTAGATTTACCTATGAGTTATAACTATAACACAGTATACCAACCGCTAACCGAGATACTGTTACTGAACAGAAAAACCGAGATATGGCTATCTCTACCTTGTATGCTTTTCCTTCAATGAAGGAGATGACTTTCTAACGCCATCTACCGGCTCGTTCCATAGAGAGCTCACAGCTTAGACAAGATTTTTTAGTTTGTGTCAGAGATACTATACTAATGAGAATCAAATCTCTACCCACAAAAGGAGCAATTACATGTCATGGCAACACAATATCAAAGCTAGAGGGTGAAGTTAGGGTTACCCACTGAGTATATGTAGGTTTGTCTATAGGAAACAACGTTGTCGATTTTTTAGCAAAAGTAGTTTGTCTATTTGTGGAATTGGTGCAACTTTTTTCTATGTTTCAAAATAAAATTATCAATATATTTTTTCAGATTACGGTCTGATTTAACTTCTTTCGCTCAGCGCACAGAACGGTGCTTGCGACCGATCTTTTGTTCTTTTCTTGTCCACACCAAGTGTGTTCCAGGAGCAGAGCAGTTACAGACCGGATCAAAACTGCGTCAAATGTATTTCAATGGTATTTTGGGCTCTGGTTCACACCGCAGGGTTCGGTTACAGGGGGCGGGGCTGAGATCATTGCAAGTAGAAGTCCCGAGCCCCATACACACCGTTACATCTAACAATGTTTGCAGCTGTGCCAGAATTTTTCTGCCCCCCTCCCGCTGGTGCCCTCAAGCGGCCGCTTGACTTGCCACTGGACCACGCTGACTCGAGTATAAGCCGAGGGGGGCACTTTTATTTCACATGTGTTTTAAAAAGAACCTGAAAGTACAGGAATGTTATGCTACCTGTAATGCCCTTTGCTCCTAACTTCCTGTTGGGCTGACAACACTCTCCTGCACTGAAAGTCCAAGGTGTGGTGGGACTGCCCGGGGTGTCTTTAGAGACTGTAAAATCCCAGAACATTGGAGGTGTAGTGTGTTGTAGTCCAGGGGGTCTGGAGAGCTTGTTGGCTGTATGTCAAGGCATGAGTGATGGATTGGGTAGTGATTGGGAAATCTGTATTGGGAGATTGATGTGTGGACTGTGACATGCGAGTATGGAAACTGGTTAGTAAATATCAGCTCTGTCCAGGGAAATGAACAAATAAACCTTGTAAAGCCGTGTGGTAGTGGAGTGATTGTACTAACTTCAGGGTAGACATGTGCGATTCGTTTCGTTAAGAATCGAAATTCGTACGAATTTTCCTGAAATTCCGAAATTCGGAGCATCCGAAATCCGAATGGCAGTTTCCGAATTATATCCGAAATACGAGATTCCGTTAACGAATTTCGGATCCGAATTTCTTTGAAACGGGAACTAATATTACCCCTGTAAATGATGTTGAACAACATGACCAGATTTTTTTTTAATCCGAATTACGGATCGGCTGCTGCTGAGAGTCGCATTACAATACACAGGCAGGAAATACGAAATTCCGTTGATGTATTTTCGTTCCGTTCCGAACATTCGTTATATTGAAGTTAAAAAGCAAAGTACATTTATATTGGAGTTGATGGTAGTTGTTTTTTAAATACGAAATTCGGATCCGGAATCCGTTAATGGAATTCGTGTTTCGGATAAAAAAAACAACTACCACATCGACTCCAATATTAACAAAGGCATTTTGCTTTTTAACTTCATCATAACGAATGTTCGTACAGTTACGAAAATATAACCGCCACTAACGAAAATTCGTATTTCGTACCAATCCGAATCCGAATTGAGTTCAGTTACGAATTACGAAATACGAAATAACGGATATTACGAAACGAAACAGAACAAATTTTTTGACGGCGCACAAGTCTACTTCAGGGGTGTAAAGCCGTGTGGTAGTGAAGTGATTGTACTGACTTCGGGGGTGTAAAGCCGGCCATACACCTTACAATTATCTGCAGATGTTCTGTGGTCAGATGGAAAAAGTGCGACAGATTCCTCCATCTACGCTTCAAAATACCTGAACAATCTGATTGGATGCCGGCATTGTTCAGGTGTTTTCAGAGCCAGCGGGGCCGACTAGCAAGATTGGCCCAGTGGGAGATTCCTCCATACACACAGCTTAGCGTAGATGGAGGAATCTGTTGCACCTTTTCCATCTGACCACAGAACATCTGCAGATAATTGGAAGGTGTATGGCCGGCTTTCCAGATCAAAATTATTTGACAGGCAAAGGGCCCATTCTATGCCCATGCCATGTACCTGAACTTTACATGACTTTTGTGCACTATTGTATGTTGGTGAGACTATGACCCTCAACAGTAGGGATGAGCCGAACACCCCTGTGTTCACCCGCGTGTTCGGTTCGTATTGGAACATTCGAACGGCCGAAATGTTCGAGTACGAACTCCAACTCAATGCAAGTGTATGGGGGTCGAATGTTCAATCCCCATACAGCTGCCGGTACATGCAGTAAAACTGTGGCTGCAGCGGCCTGCATCCCTTCAAATCCCCGCTGCTCTCAGCGCCTGTGTTGGCGGAGACAGCGGGGACACAGACCGATGCATGCCTTCGCTGTCCCCCTTCCCTCCGCTGCTGTCCCGGCCTCCGGTCCCCTGGTCCGTCCGCTGCTGTCCCGGCCTCCGGTCCCCTGGTCCGTCCGCTGCTGTCCCGGCCTCCGGAAAGCAGCGGCGACGATCGAGATAACCATAGAGCAGACGAAGAATAGACGTTCTTCGCCTGCTCTGTGTCATCACTGAGACCGTGGCGCTGTAATCACAGCGCCACCTGTCTCAGCGGTCACTAACTGCAGCTTCTGTCACAGCTTCTGTCATAGAAGCTGTCACAGAAGCTACAGTCTCGAGTGCTCCATAAGGCGCGCCGGATCTCCCTGCGTCCTATGGTCCGGTGCGTCTTATGGACCGCAAAATACGGTATATCTAAATGGGCAATAAATCTTGGTGGGATGGTAGGAGAGGTCCTTGCACTGTGATGGAGCGTCGTCTGACCCCATTTGGCCTAGATAGCATTCCGCGAGATCTCGCCAAAACAGTGGTGACGCCACAGCAGTAGGTGGTGCAGTATGGTAGCCGGGGGTAAGGGAAGTCATCTGTACTCATTTTGTAAAGGCATAGTCCACCTTTTAGGTAATAAATGCACCAATGGTGGTAAAATAAAACAATGTGCATTCATTAAATGTACACATTCAGATGAAAGCATGGCTCTCTCCAGATCCTCCCCATATAAACCAACTATTGGATATGCTGAAAACAATTATGTGGCAGGAGAGACTGGGTGCTACCATGGCTAGGGAAGAGTGCATAACAAAATTCTTTGATAGATGGCGCCCTTTTATACAGAAGCAACTAAGAGATAAGGAAATCCACAAGATAGTCCTTCCTTTCCGTTATTCCAAGTGGTATCTGGAAGGTGTATTGGGGAACTCTTTGGGTCGTCTTGACCTCCCCAAGGAACCCATGGCGAATCCCCTACGATAACCAGAATACCACCCAGGAATAGAATAGGAGGTCCTCGGCTTACACAAGTGATTGCAAAATAAAAATATAATATACATGTATAAACAAATCAATAACTATATATATATAAATGAATAAACGTCAAATGGGAGGCATTGGATGTTATATACTATTAGCGGGGAACTTCCGGAACAGCTGGGGGCAGGACTATCCACGGAGGGGAGACTTTCGGAGGAGACAAAGGAGCGAGAGCGGAGAGGCGGAGTGGAAGACGCTGGTGAATCTGAGCTGAATTGGTAATAGAGATGTTATTAGTGGTATTAGTGTCAATAGGCTGTCACTTGACAGTACTGGATGTTAAACTCTAGGGATACTCGGATAGGGCCGCAGGCCTAAAAACCACAGGGGGGGGGGGGGCAATGCCCGGGGTACTAGGCTACACAGAAGCCGAAAAGCACGAGGCTCCATGCCCAGGGCACTGTACAGGGACGAATTGCCCACAAGAAGATATCAACATATCCTGAACTTTACAAGGTATATGCTTCAAAAGTTGTTAAAATGTGTTGGTATTTAACACACGAGAATGTTATCATATATGTATATCTTTCTGACACGAATAAACTATTTAAAAAAAAAAAAATGTATGCATTCAAGCCTGCAGAGCATTGCAACTGCGATCAGTGCGTTACAAGTGCAATGCTCAGGCTCCTGTAATATGAACCCCCAGCCCCCAGTCCTTATGGAGGTCCTTATGGTGGTAGGGACCTTCTATTATGGGATGGAGGAGGTAATTGATGAACTACAATAGCGATGCCATCACCCCCCTGACGCCGGTGCTCTCTGCTGAGTCCCTCTGCTGAGTCCCTCTGCTGCGGTGACAAATGGGGATCCATTGATGACAGTTGCAATTCTTCACAGACTCCAATGCCAAAATATAATCATTCATTGCACATTGTTACTTCTATGGATGTGTGCGCGTTTATTATTTCCTGTAAAAGGTGGACTTCCCCATTAATCTTCCCAGAGCAGACTCCATGCACCTTGATTGGTTAGATGGGGCCCACAGATGTCAGTCGTTTCTGGCCACCTTTGCAGCCCTAATCGTATTGGGATCACCTGCCAGCATATCAGTCTTTGTCCAATCATCCTGAAGCCCCACCCCCTCTCCAGCATATAAATCTCTGGTCAGGGCTGGATGTCAGTATTGGAAGTGGTCTTCAGGATGTTGTATTCTAGGGCAGGATTGGGGTTGGTGCTTCTGCTTTGGAGCTGTGGTTTGTCATGGATGCTGTGTGATGCTGAAGGACATTGGGATGGTTCCTCACATCTCCATTGTACTCTGAACAACATGGAGCTGACCCTTCCTATGTCAGGTGAAGGTGTTTCTTATTCACTGACTGTGCTGGGTGAGTCATTATTAATGTTTCCTTTACTATTTGTGGGTGAAGAGGTGAAACCTGCCTGGATTAGAGAGGTTATATATAGTAATTTGTGTAATTGGCCTTCTGGTCCCCAGGGCATGGTGGATGTGTGCTGATGTAGTAAGGGGGGGGATCTTATGAAGCTTTAGCATGAAGATGTGACACTGCTCATGTGTAATGGTCACGGCTTGGTTGTGTTGAATGGTCTTCGCTAGCTAGGGCAGAGCTGTACTCTGAATGATTAGTGGAGTGTAAGTTACAATAACCTGTTCCTTCTGTCTGAATGCAGGAAACCTTTTATTCTGGTTCTCCTGCGTTTAAATACATGTGTTTGGAGTATTAAATCTGCCCCTGGATGCTCAGGCTTCAGACTTCTCTAAATACAAGCACCCTGAATGTACCAAAACATGGTATAGCATTTAAAACCCATACAGGTTCTATAGACGGAGTCCTGTCCATGAGAATGAGGCCTTAGGCTTGGGTCACACTATTGAGTTGTGTGCATGTTGCTGCAATGCAATCCATGTTGTCTGGCCCCTTGATGATGGTTGCATGCTGCCAGGAAAGGTCCCCCTCCTGCGTTGGAGGTGCGTTGATGGCCCCCTTGTGTTGAATGGGCTGCCAAACTCTGCACATGCTAATGCAGGAAAAAGCTTCCAGCAATGCTCCCCGTCAGTCAAGTCTCTATGAATGTGAAGGAGAGCTGCTGTAGCAGAGCAGAAAACAGACTCTGCCGGACCAGGAATACCGAACCTGCTCCAGTGGCCTCAGCGCCGGCTTACTATTCGAATGGTGAAATACAGCAAATGGAACACTATTTGGTCTGGTTGCCTCTTTGTATGTGGTCACTGCAGTTGAGATGTGGAGGCTGCCATGTGCATGGAGAGAGTTGCCAGGGTATGCTGATCCTCTGGCTTCATCTGTTTCCTGTCCCAGGCTTTATAGCGATCAGTAAATTACAAACTCCTTATTTCTGATGTTAGTGGCTCGGTGTTGAAGCCGGGGGGTTGGCATGCTAAGACGGGGATCTAGACTTTGCTGAATATGAAGCCAGGAAAGGGTCTCTTGAAACATGGACATGTAGTGTAGTCTTAAATTTAAGATTCCTGGAAGATTTCCACAGCTCCCTAGTCTAGCCCCTCCCCCCGCACTACTTGGGATACCTGGTAAGGAGTGTGGCTAAGCATCCACATACTGGCCATGTACTTGAGCTGCTTCTTGGCAGATATGAGTTGTATGATCGCTGCTCCACTAACATGAAAAGAATCATCTTATCCATAGTATCCTGAGATGGTGAGTGGGGTACCAGGCGTTGTCTCCACAGGACTGATATTCTTTGGAGGGTTTCTTGCTGGTCTACCAGTCTAAATGTCTCATATGTGAGCACCCCGGTGTCATCTGCCTCCATGTAATGGACTCCTATCTGACACTGCATTGGATGTTCCACAATGTAATGGGGCAGCACCTGAGTCTTTCCAATCTGAGTTGTTAGTAGAAATCTCAACTTCAATATGTCTCCTGTTCAGATTTCCAGGATGAATTTCAGAGTCTTGCCAATGATTCTGCTTGCGGCCTTTCAGTAGGACAGAGACCTGATGACACAATGGTGGTTGGTGCTGCTTATGATGGATGCTACGTAAGAGAAGAGGTAAGACTGACAACACTGACTTCAGATTTTGATGCTGTCCTTGTCTTAATCACAATCATGTATATGGAGTCTAATGGTCCTGAAAGGATCATGAAACATGGTGACCGTGTTCTGTGCTCCTACTAGTAACTCATTCTTTATGTATAGCCCAAACTTCAGTTTTGGAGAGGACTAAAATGCCTAAGTGTGTTGCAGTCAGGGGCCACTCTTACAATTCACGATCTTGCATTTTCCTGGTGACAAATCAATGGGGAAGACGATCCCTACCAGATTTAGAGGTGATGAGGAAACACTCTTGTTCTGGTGACCACTTCTAACATAATCTCTTAGTAGAGACTTCCTCCCTCTTGCCTATAGGGCAGGAACTGTTGGGAGATCCTGGCTCTACACACTACTATGAAGGTGCCTGTGCTGGCTATGACATAAGTATTTGAGTCTTTGGGGAGTGTTTGTTGGTCTTTAGGTATAGACCAGCAAGTTTTGGGAGCATAGGTTGGGACTCCAGAGGGGACTGTTACTGGCAGTGTTCTAAACATCTTTTCTTCTGATAGGATGGAGAGCACCTAATGGTCCTGCTTCTGGAAGTCATTGTGAATGGGACAGTGGAGCAATACAAGATGGAGAAGAAATGTCCAATACAGAACGGTAACAAGTGATTTTACTTGTACATGGGGAAACCTAATGTCCTATAAACCATGAGCACTATGTAGCTTGTCACTTCTTGGGGTGGTCACTAGGACAGAAGCTGAGGGAACAAAACCTAGTAACTTATAATCCTTCTATTGAAATCCAAGCGTTTTATTGGACTTTCCATGTACAGTATGTAGACTTACTACATGATAACTTCTCTTGTTTAGAAGCTATGGATGCTCCAAGCCCTGACATCTGCTCTGCTGTCAGCCAAGAGGACAAACTGGCCTGTGCTGGAACACCTGTAACCAGAGACATCTGTGAGGCGTTGGGATGCTGCTACTCCCCAAATGATGGCAGAATGCCTTGTTTCTTTGGCAACATGTGTAAGTGGGATATTGCTTGGCCCAATAGAGGTGGGAGGGGGTCAGTATCGGCCTGTAGGGGAAAGAACCTTTTGACAGACTCTGGCAGGCAAGGTTGGCAGCCCCTCAGCGATGGCTACAGACATGCACTCAACACTTGCCTTTTATGATGGGTGACTCTCAGTCCAGTCTGGAATGCATTTGGCTGAACGATATAATTGAATGGGGTTTGCAATGTGTTACATCAATGGTGATTTAAACCAAAATGGTCTTGGCTTTTCCTGGGTCTTTCAGCCCTGTTGGTAACTAAACCATTCACCTTTCCATGCTCAATGTACAGCCCCACCAGTTCTAAGCATGACTTGCTTTTAGGGTCTTCTGAATTGTATAATTTTGTGCTCTTCCATGTAACCTAACATTACCACATAGATGTGAGGTGACATCATTCAGAAATGGACTAGTGTCCACAATAGTGACTAGATAAGACTACCTTCAGACCTAATCTTCATAGTGACAAACCATCTTTGTTTCCTACAGTGACCACTCAGTGCACAGTTGATAACAGCATGGTGATTGCAGTGTCCAAAGATCTGACCAGGCCATCCCTGCTTCTGGACTCGGTCTCTGTGATTGGTGTGGACCCGACCTCTTGTCCTGGGCTGTCAGTAGCTAGAAGTAACTCCTTTGCAGCATTCAAATTCCCATTATCCTGTAGCAATGCAGATCAGGTGGGTATTCCTATACGGTCTGAGTTGGTGGGTTTGTCCAGCCCTCACAGCGTTTGTAAAACTAACAGTACTTGTTCCTTTTTCATGCATATGACATTCAATGGTAAAACAAGGGACTGAGATCTTGGCTCAAACCCTTGACTTGAAGCATTAGCGGATCTAATTCAAACCTACGCTTGTGGCTTCAATTCTAGTATAAGATGTAATAAGGGGGTTCTAATACAAGTCAGTGTCTTTGCTATCTGTTCCATTGGGGAGATTTCTCCACTTGCTGTCTGGTAGTCACACGAGGAAGTGAGTAAATTCCTCCAATGAGGGAGTCTCTGGTCGAGACACTAGTTCTAGTGACCATTGGAAGATTTCCCATCTAATCTGTTCTGATAACTGGGTTTCAGTGAGTCACCAGGACAAATGGGAAGGTGACTCTCCCCGAGAGGGACGCAGATAGCAATAAAAACTTGATGGGTGTCCTGCTTCTGTTCAGTTTGAATTCTAGTTGGGGCTTTCTCTTGGTAAAGCTCAATATGGGTTCAGTTGAATTGAACTAT